ATTAATTTTCCATTTTAGAAGAATAGTTATTTGAGATTATTCTTAACCTTAAAAAATATGATCTTGAATCTGCTAGTAAATTTACCAGAATTCAACATTGTTTTATGGTTTTGGAACCTTGGAGCTTTGAATAGCATTGATGTTCTAAATTTTGTCCTTTTTTTAAATAAATAAAAAATTCTTTCTTTCCCAATCAAATATCTTTTCTTCATTCCGTTCTTCAATTATATATATATACACACAAACACCTTGACCGAACTAAGTATTTAGTTAGAGTATTATTGAGTCCACTTGATTTATTAAAGTACTATAAGCAAGGTTTCTATAATAGTAGACGCATGTATTTTTTTTGTATATTTTACACATAATTAACAACACAGTTAAGGGATAAACTTGAGTGGGTCACAATAAATTTTGTAATCTTTTGTTTTGAAGGTGTGATTGTTTTATTTTTTTTAACAAAATCACTCTATTGTTTTACTTAGTTTTTATATTTGAGAAAATGGCTTCATATTTTCCATAGTCATGGCTTGGATGGTATTTCCCTGAAATTCAAGCTATTGTTATATTTAGTTTTTATATTTGAGAAAATAACTTCATATTTTCCCCTTTTTTTCACCATTTGCTTGAATTAACTTGACTTTCCAGAACATTCTTAAATTATCTATAAAAACCCTCAAAAGTGGAACTAAAAACTAAACGTTTGAAAAATGAATTCTAGCACAATTCAATTAAAAAGCCTGGATCTTGTGAAGCCTAGATCTTGACAAACCATCAACTCTAAAGTTTCCCAAAACCTTGATCTTATAAGAAAATCGATGACACAATTCAAATTGAAAATACCAAATCTTGAAAAACCTTGATATTATAAAACTCAATTTTAACACAACTTTCAAAAGTAACTTAATCTTTGTCATCATCTGTTCTCAAAACTAAATATCATTTATCTAGAACACTAAAACAAAATCGATCTAAAAACGAAGAAGAAGACCAAAAAAGTACTAGAAATTAATAAATTAGGAATTGTTATTTTGAATTAGGGTTTATGGTTTTTTCTTAATCTCAACTACATGAGTGTAATGGTCCTTTGTGACAGGAAGAAAAAAGAAAAGAAAAAAAATAGAAGATGGGTGTGGTTTTATTTACCTGGTTTGGTCAACCAAGGTGATAAGAGAAGGGTGGGAGAGAGGAGGGAAAGGCAGGAGATGAGATGACAGGGAGAAAAGGAGGATAAGGAAGAAGAAAAAGGGGGGGAAACAATTAAGGGTATTTTCATCTTTTTATCAAAACATAAATTTTGTATTGATAAGCATGTAAAATGTAATTTTTTAAAAAATAAAAATATAAGTAAAGTGTTAATGTGCTTGAGAGGATCAAAATAATTTGTTTTTAGTTAAACTAGATTTTAACAGGTTATGTTAGGATGTGTTGAGTTAAAAAAAAATGTGTTGAGTTAAAAAGGTTAATAAGATCAATTTTAACCTAGTTAAATTTGAAATTAGGTTGAGTAGAAGCTCGGATCTTTAGTTTTAATTGAAATTTTCAAAATTAATTCATGTAAAATGTATTTAAAATATTATTTTATTAAATATTGTTTAATTTTTATTTTATTTCCTAAAAAAATTATAATATTAACAAGCACTAATTTTTTTATAATATTAACAAGCACTATTTTTTTATAACCTTTCTGGATTTTTTTTGTTTACTTTTTTAATTTAATTTGGTCAACTTCTTATGTTATCTCTTTGTATTATCATATTATTAAATAAAAAATAAAATAAACTCAGACAAACAAGGTTATGTTATCCAAATAAATGATTGATTTGGATCGCGAGTTTAGTGTATTAACCTAAATCGATCCATAACACTATCATCTCACTTTTATTTAAAAAAAAAATTAAAACAACATCATTTTAAAATATTTTTTCAATGAAATTAGATTTTGATTGAGTTGGTCGGCTCGACTTTGAACCCATCATTGCAAATAGATCACACCATGTCAATTCTAATTTGTTTTAATTTGAAACTTGGGCTAGATAAAGGGTTGAGACATGAGGTCTTTAAGTTGACTTACCGAGCTAGACCGAGTTTGATGACACAACTAAAATATTTTTTGTGTCAGCTCGTGAGATATATATTTTTATTGTATTATTTAATATATTCATGTTCAAAATTATCAAAATATTATTATTTTTTAATTTAAACTTGCTTTTATTATTATGATAAGGTGGTGCGTGGGGAAAAAAAACAATAGCTGAAAAAAAAAATCTTTTTTTAATCCTTATTTAAAATCATTGATTTTTTCTAATATGTATTCTAATTTTTTTTATTAGATAAAGAATATAAAACAAAAAAGTTATTTTTTTGTACAAAAATAAGCTTAGTAAAAAAATAAGGGATTACACAAGCAAATTATTTTGTTTCAATAGAATTCAATCATCATTGTTCTTAAACAAATATTACATATAATTAAATAAAAAAAATTGAATAACTCTCTACTGCAAGGGATCAAATTTTTTAATTTATATTTATCTCTTAACTTTTTGATATTCTTAACAATGTTTTTAAATTTTTATTAATGTATATAATTATAAATTTATTTAATTAAATACACACACCAAATTTTAAGTTTATAATTAAAAAGAAAATTATTTTAATTTTTTTTAACAATACTTGTATTTTTTTGTGTTAAAAAATCGATTTTAAATCCGATCCTATAAAGTAGCGAGTTTATCCTAACTAAGAAAAACTTTGAGAGTTTTCTACTTGTCATTGCCATTACCCATCACCACTTTAGTTTCAATCATAGTTGTCTGGTGGTTTGATTTTGAGATTTTTGCTATTGAGAGCCCGGTCTTGATTGGGTTTACTCTTAAATCTGGGTGCTTTAACAGATAAACTTGTGACTCAATTAATTTATCACGCTCGTATAATATTTATTGGTTCGTGCTATATTGCTAAAAGAATCGATTTTTTTAATATTAAAAAAAATTAAGCATTGTCAACGTATTTTTTAATAAAAAAAATTATTAACTCAAAATATAATATATTGATGATATTTTTTAAAATATTTATATGGTGAGATCGGATGAAATTTATTTTTAAATATTGAGATAATAATATATTAGATTGACCATATAGTTAACCTGTTAAATCTAATACTGAGGTAATAAGGCAATGATAACCCTGTAAAAAATTAAATCAAAATAAAATATGAATATCAATACTTAATTCAATGTTAAAAGATAAAATTAAAAAATATATATAAATTAAAAAAATATCATAATCAACCTGAATTAACCTACTAAATTAGTCAATTCGAGTAATGAGATCAGGATAATGATGTAGAAATCAAGTAAAAAAATATAAAGCTCAATTTCTAATAAACTCATTATTAAATAATTAAATAAAAAATTAATTTTAAAATTTTTTAAAAAAATCAAAGTCTACTTAGGCTAACCTTTTAAGCTCATAACATGAGATCATAATAATTTTGTAAAAAATAAATAAAAAAATTTAAATCTTTATTTTTAACAAATCCAATGTTGAAGGTTAATATCGAGAAAAATAAATAAATAATTGAGATCGAGATAACTCCACACAAAAAAATTATAAAACTTCATTCTCAAACAAAATAATATTTAAATATGAAATTAAAAAAACTAAATAAAAAATAAAATTGAGTTGTTGGAGAGTAAAATTATATATATATATATATATATATATATATATTCAATTAAGAAAAAGAATTAAGTAACCTAAATCAATCTATCAAAGGCATGACTTGGGCCATGAGACTATAATATTTTTATAAAAAATAAATAACAAAAATTTTGATTTATCTAATTTTCTTTTTGTTGTGTCATCTTAGATGTTGATTAGTTAAGTTTGCTCGAGTTAACTCATGTTTTTTGTTTTAAAATTTGTATTTATTTAAATTTTTTCTAAGTTTTTTTTTGAAAGTTTAATTTTTTTTTATCTCAATCTTATATTATAGGTGATAAGTTAGTCGAGTTAATTCAAGTTTTTTTCCTTTAATTTTTTTATGACATTGATTTTTAAAAAAAATTATGATTGTCATTAAATTATTGTTCATTCATCTTTGTCATTTTTAGTTTTTATTTTTATTAGATTATCCTAAAAGCGAATTAACAATGTTAACCTGGCTTAACTTAATTTTTTTATTGAAATTAGGTCATTTTTTACTATGCTCTTCTTCTAAATTTTTTTATTATTATTATATCAAAAGGCATGAGTTAGTCAAATGACCCAAGTTAGGTTGAGTTTTTAATATTATATTTTTTAAAATTAAAGGCATGAGTTAGTCAAATGACCCAAGGTCGAGTTTTTTTTTAATATTATATTTTTTAAAATTATTTTTTTATTTTATCCTTTAGCATTATACCCATTAGGCTCAAGCTTTGTAATTTTTTATTTTATTATGTAAATTATTTTGATTTTATATCTTGGTTTGTTCGTTAATAAAACCTGATAATCAAGTACAACTTTGAACTGAAATTTTCTGATTCTGACCAGAAAAGAGAATTGTTGCTGAAATAACACTAGTTAAGTGCCTTTGTCTATAGCAAAGGAGGATGTACTTGGATGGCAAATGTTAGTGAAAACTGGACTTTGGAGGGAGTAAGGTGCAGGATCTGCCCGACAATGGCCCTTAAATTAGTGAAAACTGGACTTTGGAGGGAGTACGGTGCAGGATCTGCCCGACAATGGATAATTATGGTTTCAATCCGTTTGCTATGAGTTGGGTTGTGCAGTGTCCACCTTTTTTACCATCCTTGTTTGCCGATGCTATACTTGGCATCATACTCTTATCCTAGGCAGATTACTCGATGAGGTTTACAGCTAGTAAATGAATGCTTTCAAGCTTTGAACTTTTAGCTTGGACTGGGTTGGTAGAGGAGGATTAGAGATCGGTAGGGGTCTAAAATGAAGCCCAGCTGATAACAAGTTTTTGCCCCGGAGCCAGGATAAGATCGAAGTTGGATCAAAATGGTCATAATCATTTATTTAAGATGGGAATGGAAGGAATGTTTTCAACAGCTCAAGGCCTCATGGAACATTAGCAAGCAACACACATAATGATTTGAACTCAAAGACGGAACAGGAGATCCATTATTATACTGTCCATAACATCCAGAGCATAAACTGTATGAACACAAAAGGTACTCAGCACTCTTTTTTAAACGACAACCCAACCAAGTGACCGCCCAACAACACTTGATGAAACATTGGACATGAGCTCAATTCTTGTACAATCCCGAATCCTGCAGTCTTGAAAAAGCCTTCTCAAACTGGCTCCATTTCTGAGCCAAAGTGCCAACGAATCCCACAGAAATTCTCACCAGTCCTGGTGAAATGCCAGCCAGTGCCTGTTCCTTGTCATTCAATTCGCTGCTAGTGCTACTACCAGAGCAGGACATAAGGGTTTCGTAATAGCCCAAGCTCACTGCCATGAACCCAAATTGAGTGCAGTTTTGCAAGTGGTTCATCAAACGATTAGCCTTTTCCTCAGTTTCCATGTCAATGCAAAGCAGCCCACCAAACCCATATTCTTTATTTGCCATGGACTTCAAGAGCTCGTGCTGAGGGTGATCTTCAAGGCCTGGGTAAATGACATTGAGGCCTAGATTTTTGATTTTGGTGGCGTAAAACATTGCACGGTGGCAATGTTCCTTCATCCTCAACCCCAAATGAGGAATCCTCTCTGACAATTCAAAGGCAACCTTGGCATTCATTGTGGGACCAAGAAGCATCAAGGCTCCATGCTGAAGATCCATCATTGAATTCACCAGGTTGGCTGGACCACAAACAGCACCTGAGAACATTCCATTGATGCATTAGCAATAATTCTTGTTTACCTTTAGGATGGGTAGAAATTTGAAAGGAAAAAAGAAAAAAGGGGCAACTGTTCTGGTAGCTTAGCACGACTGTTCTTGGTATCCGTAAACAAACAGGATGAAGAGTGAAAACAAACAAGATGAAGGACACGTCACACAAACAATGAAGGAAAAGACCAAACTCAGACGTCACGTGTGTGATCCCAACTGCAAGAAAATCTTAATTGAAATGTCAAAAACAAAACCACAAAATTTTCTAAACATTAGAGAAAGCTGGCATGCTCTAAAGTGACTCGAAGACACCCATCATTCACGAGCGAAGAAAGCTATCACTGCATCCGCATGAACTCAGGAGGTCCACGTGAGCATGCATCATCATATATCCTAGATAACATACTTAAATAATATCACCCCTAAAAATCAATGTCTTAAAAGATTCCATGGCACCACTAATTTTCCTTTTAAGTTAAAAGATAATCAAGTCCCGTCATGGTGTTGATAAGCCTAAAAACACCCCTCGAGTCTTGTCAAGTTGTGGATTCGAATTTCTCATTTCTTTAACCACTTGTTGCACATTTTTTAAATCCCAGTTCAACCAATCTTACAAATGTTTTTTCCTTTTTGTGCTAGATTCGAGAAAACTCTCCAATATCTCCACCTAAAGCGAAGAAAGAAACGCATTACTCGAAATTTACAGGCTGCCGGACATGGGGTCCTGTCGACAGCATACCGCATCGAATTCGGACAGAAATTAAGCAACGTGGATTCTAAAATCTGAAATTTGGAAGAGTCAAATTTGCGATATACCTGCAATTATATCGGCTCCACCGCTAATAAACTTGGAGATGCTATGCACAACCACATCAGCTCCTAGTCTAGCCGGGGACAGAACCATCGGAGAAAAAGTATTGTCCACCACAACTGTCGCCCCTTTATCATGGGCTATTCTACTCAGTTCAGGGATGTTAGCAACAGTCAGAGTTGGGTTAGACATGGACTCAAAGTACAGAACTTTGGTCTGTCCTTCAACCATTGCATTTTTCACCATCTCGTGATCATTGATATCAACAAACGTTGTCGTTATGTTACATGCCCTTGGTAAGAAATGGGTTAGTAATGCATGAGTCCCACCATAGAGAGTTCTTGATGCCACCATGTGGCCCCCACTGCTGCAAAGTTGTAGCAACACAGATGATATAGCAGACATGCCTGTCCAAAACAAAGCACTCCAAGTTCATTATGATATTTTTGTAAATGTTTTTTTTTTCTCCCATCAAAATAGATACCTTATTTTAGGTGCCTTATTGACCCAATATTCAAAATCAAACTGTGTATATCAAAAAAATAAAAATAAAAACTACAAGAAGTTTATTTCTGGAATCAAATCCTATGAAATTCATGATGCATATATATGTACCAATCTGTCACACGTTTATATGCATTCTCATGTAACATGCATAATCAAGACAAGTTGTGCAATTACAACTCACAAATTGTGGAGTGTTTCAAAAAAAAAATCAATCTTAATATTCTAATTTAGTTGAGGTTTTATGTAAAAGCTGGCCATTAAAAACCATTATTCTTAAATTGCAGAAACTATTGATAGTAATAAAAATTAATTTACCACTGGCGGTGCAATAGGCAGCCTCAGTGCCTTCAAGGGCAGCCATCTGACGGCCAAGATTTAAAACAGTGGGATTAAAGTGCCGGCTGTATATGAAGAAGTCCCGGTCAGGACCAAGCTCGCCAGCAAACATACGGCGCATGGTCTCAGGCTCCATGACAGTGAAGGTGGCAGACGCCTCAATAGACATGTTAACACCACCATGTTCACCAAATTCATGCCTTGCGGAAGCTAACGCTGCAGCTGGGTCCTCCCACATGGAAGGCAAGCCTGTAGATAACATTGATTTCTTATTAGCAACAATAAAATCATCATCACCATCTTGCCCTGTCGATGATCTTTTCTTGCCGGAAAAAACAAAGCCTTGTTGATTCTTGGTTTCAGCCATGGCTACTAACTATTAAGAAATCAAAGAGAGAGAGATATGTTGACAAGAATCCTTAGAATCCTTTAACACTTTTATTATAAATAAATAAATAAAAACAATTATAGGTGAATGAGAGATAGGTTGGTGCGGAAGAAGGATTTGTGGTTCTATATATAGAGAGAGAGAGTGGCTGCAAACGAGAGAAAATTTATTCAAAATACTGTACTGTGGTCAAAAGGTAATTAATTATGCGGTTATAAGCCATTAGGTGTTTACAACAGAGTACAGGGAATGTAGACATTTTTGAGAGGTCAATTAATTAACTGGGAATCTGTTTACCGTTTCATTTATGTGGTGTGATATGAAGAATCATCAAATTACACAAAAAATCTACATGGATTGGTAAGATATTAAAATCGGGGGCACGCCTTATGTCGCGGCCTATATAAAATAAATAAATAAATAAAACTGAAAAAAAAAAGTAAAAAAAAATTAATAATCAAGTTAATTATGAATTTAATAATAAAAAAATAAAACAACTACAAAAAATAAATGAAACGATATTGCTACTAGCAAAGCTGAGTTAATAAATAAAATTTATGACTTTAACATAAGATATGTCACAATTGCATGTTTTATATATATTATAGATTATCATATCAGAATAATTTGATAAAAAAAAATTAATAAATAAAAATACAATTAAAAAATTAAGAGAAAAATATAAATCAAGAAATTCGATAGCATCACACGGGTCATTTATCAAATTATTTTAATTTTTTTATTAAAATCAATTTGTAATAGAAATTAACAAACTCATAAGATTTATTTAATAAAACAAAAAAAAATATTGTGTAAAGTTGCGCATATTAAAAATATCATAAAAAATAAAAAAATTAAATTGAAAAACTTAAATTAAATTTATATGAAATACATGTACACACAAAAAAAAATCATATTAACCTCGTGAAAAATTAAAGACTCTCAATATAATTAAAAAATAATTATTATTTAAAAAAGATTAAATAAGCCAAAAAAATAACATAGCAATGGTATTAATTAAAAAATAAACTAAAAAATATTTTAAAAATATATAAATTAAAAAAAAATAGCAATGGTATTAATTAAAAAATAAACTAAAAAATATTTTAAAAATATATAAATTAAAAAAAAATAGCAATGGTATTAATTAAAAAATAAACTAAAAAATATTTTAAAAATATATAAATTAAAAAAAAATAGCAATGGTATTAATTAAAAAATAAACTAAAAAATATTTTAAAAATATATAAATTAAAAAAAAATAGCAATGGTATTAATTAAAAAATAAACTAAAAAATATTTTAAAAATATATAAATTAAAAAAAAATAGCAATGGTATTAATTAAAAAATAAACTAAAAAATATTTTAAAAATATATAAATTAAAAAAAAATAGCAATGGTATTAATTAAAAAATAAACTAAAAAATATTTTAAAAATATATAAATTAAAAAAAAATAGCAATGGTATTAATTAAAAAATAAACTAAAAAATATTTTAAAAATATATAAATTAAAAAAAAATAGCAATGGTATTAATTAAAAAATAAACTAAAAAATATTTTAAAAATATATAAATTAAAAAAAAATAGCAATGGTATTAATTAAAAAATAAACTAAAAAATATTTTAAAAATATATAAATTAAAAAAAAATAGCAATGGTATTAATTAAAAAATAAACTAAAAAATATTTTAAAAATATATAAATTAAAAAAAAATAGCAATGGTATTAATTAAAAAATAAACTAAAAAATATTTTAAAAATATATAAATTAAAAAAAATAGCAAAATATGATAAACTCAAGCATATAGACCTTGAAGTTCATGGTCACACGCCAAGCCCTGCTTTTTTATTTTTAAAAAAGGGCATCTTCCACCCCTATTTTTCCGTTTAATAAAAAATAAATAAAAGTCAACGGCTTACCACTGGGTTTTTGACCTGGTTTTGCCGGGTCGTCCGGGTTTCCGGGTCAACCCGTCGGTCGGCCGGGTCACGCCGGGTCATAGCTTACCTTATTTTTTCATCAACCC